GACTGGGCCCCTGACTGCTCATCCCCGACTGGGCCCCTGACCGCTCATCCCCGACTGGGCCCCTGACCGCTCATCCCCGACTGGGCCCCTGACCGCTCATCCCCGACTGGGCCCCTTACCCGGAACGCTTTATCTCAAAAGCTGCATATTCTGGAATAAGTCGGTTTCCGATCTTCAAATTACTGTAGATCAGTCAATTCTTTAGATATAGCCAAATATTATATATCATTTTAAAGGTAATTAAATGATCTTTTCAGATATGCACATAACTCAATTTGTAGAATTTCCTACTTAATCCTGGTTTTGCTGGAGCGGGTCACATATTATTGAAGAAATATTAAAGACTGTATGGTGGTGCCACCTTTTGTTTTTTTTACGTGCTAACCATATTTATAGTCGTTCTCAGACTACAACGTCTTACACCAATAGGGGGAGCCAGTAACGCAATATCAACATAACGATACGAATAATAACCCTCTTGAAGTATGTAAAGAAAAAACATTTATTGTTTTACTGAAAGTCACACATATTGAGATTTAAACCTATATACTATCCCAAATTTTGCAACGTCGATGCTTGACAGGCTTTGATTGGGGGATGTTCTGTTATGTTTAGCGGCTGCGAGCACATGCAACGTTGTTCTAATGCGCAACAGCGAGCTACATGAAGGTATCGAGGTACAAGATGAACATGGAGAGGTGATCGGCACATCCCAGATTGCAGCCAAGAAGGTAAAACACTTCTACCTGTACCATATCTGTGTGTGAGTGTGCGTGCGTGCGTGCGTGCGTGCGTGCGTGCGTCCATCCGTGCGTGCGGTATGCTACCTGTCTCACAGACGAAGTCTGCCGCCGATGCATGGCGTAGATTAGTGCTTTTGGCAGTTCGTCGGCATTACGAACGTGGTATTGATTATTAATTAAACGATTGATTAGCGATTGGTTGTCAGTGAATACGAGTAGCTGGTTATGCAGACGCATATCAATGTAGGCACACTTGGAGAAGTGATCCGGAAGGGGGGTGGTAATATCTGCAGAGTGAAGGCTATTTCTGTGCAAGTGATTGTAGATTTAGCCGTAATTTCATATGCTGTTATAGCTGCGCCAGGATGAGCGTTTTTGTCCGTTTTCGCTTGTGGCGTCGAAACTCGAAGTCGGCGGCTTTGATCCGACGAGGAAAATCCCAGATTCGCTTCAATGTCAGCTTTATGGCGGGCTTTGTTGCGTGGCGAAACTTTGTCTGTCAGCCGGTTGTCACTGGCGAATCTTCTGTAGAAGGACCAAGCAGAGCAGAGTAGAGTAGTGCACGCTCACAACCATTGATGCAGCGTTCGCATTAAAATGACTAGGTCATGGGTTTACACGGAATTGTATGTTTAAACCATTTTCTTGGTGATTTGGGGGGGGGGGAAATAAAAGAAAGGTATTCGCAACACTGGGTACACGTTCTTGAACTATTATCAGTTATTTTATAATTATTTAATATTATATTTTATATATTTTATATACACTATTATTTTTATATTAAGTTTTTTATATTAGTTGAAATATATACTCGGGACGCATAAGATTTTATCGTGACAACAAAAAAGATTTGTGCATTCTTACTGTAAGAATTCAACTAAACAAACGACGAAATAGAGATCACAGTACCGTAATTTCATAATGACATATAAACACTACTCTAGTTAACATCAGTTTAGTGTGTAACAGACACATCAAACTTACATTCTCACGTATTATTGGTAAGCAACCGAATCGCGGTCGCCCACGCTACACGGCTGACGTCATCCTACGTGCGACACCAGCGTGGGGTTGCTGCCTCCCCCCTCCCTACCTCCCTACACCCCTTATCCTCCTTCCCCACCCACTATCCCTTCCCCCTTCCTCCTCTCTCTCCCTCCCTCCCTTCCTTCCTCCCCCTTTCCTACTTCCCTTATCCCGTCCCTTCCTCTCTCTTTCTCCCTCTCTCCTACTACACTCACTCCCCTCGCTTTTGCCCTCCTTCCTGCCTTTACTCCTCCTTACCACCACCTCCCCATCATCCTCTCCTTGCTTCCCTCGATCCCTTTTCTCCCTTCATCCTCATCCCCCCCCTCTCCCTTGTCCGCTCACCTCATTCCTCCCTTCCCATCCCTCCCGCTTCTTAACCATCCACCATCACCTTCTTCCTCTCCCGTAGTCGTGGCTATGTGAGTGAGAGACGAGCAGGCCAGGTATTTGGCGGCGGTGAACCGAGTGAGTTTTGCTCGGGAGATTGATGATCAGCGCATTATGAGGCCGATTAGGTTGTGAGTTGGCTGCGGGCTGCATGCAACGCGTGCACACCGTACTCACACAGCTACAGTATGACAAGCGCCGCGGCAACTCCATCGAACACGCACGCTATTCGCTGCCGTGCGGATGGAACAATTCTATTTAATGTCAATTAATTGTTATTGGCTGGGGTGGACACCATTCTATTAATGTCCACATTAATTCGTTATGCGCCGAGTGGTGGACACACATTCATATTTTATGGCCAATTAATTCGTATTTAATGTCCACACTAAATCAACCAATCTCAGCTAAGTTTTTAATGTGGATATTAAATCACAAAACATCGCTTCCGTCCTAAAATCCGTCTTAACCAATGAGAGCCGTGGATTTTAGGACGGAAGCGATGGAATTCTCACTTCCGTCCAGAATTCCATTGCTTCCGTCGTAAAATTCACGGCTCTCATTGGCTAAGATGGATTTTAGGACGGAAGCGAAATTACGAATTAATGTGGACATTAAATATGAATTGCGTCCACCCCGGCCTGCGATACACGCACGCACGCACGCACGCACGCACGCACGCACACATATACACACACGTAGCTACCCAGGCACGGACGTACGCACGCACGCACACACACATGCGCACGCACGCACGCGCACATATACATAATACACACATGGCTACGCACGCAAACGCGCGCGCACACTCGCATACACGCACGCACGCACGCACGCACCCACGCACGATGGCCTCTCAGTAGTGCCAATGGCTAAATAATAAGCCGAATCTGCCGCATATCTAAGCTGATCTTGAGAAGCCCTTTGCCCTCTGCTATAACATAGATGATGACGAGGGTGCGAGACCAGGTAGCAGAAATACTCTATCGTGATGCTTCTAGTATATATTCTTCTATATAATACATATACATATATACATATATATATATAATATTATGGTTATTGATGTTTCAAGGTTATATATTGAATACCATCATCGATGTGAGCAGGTTTGCTCGCGCTGTGAGATTCTGCGAGGTTAGGTATAGTGATCCTGGAGAGTGATATCTCTGTGCGATTTCAAATAGCATATACGTATTTAAATTTATTTATTATTTTTATTTTCGAAATTCGCTCTTTCTCAGTGATTCATTAAATTTCGAAAAATTCGAAATCTCTAAATTTTCTCTACTAGATATGTAATCAGTCTTTAGTAATTATTTTCCACCCACTGGCTGTGCACAGTTTCACACCCGGGACAGACAACGCGTTCGTTTTGCCTCCTGACTATTAAAATATCGGTATATATGTGTATAT